AAGCTTAATGCTAGCGGGTCTTGGGGTGTCAGCGGATGGCGCTGCAGCTGCGTCGGATGGCAACACTTGAAGATTGCATGTTCAATACAGCCGGCCATTCGAGAGTTACGAAAAAGCATGATGATGGCACGCCGCGGCGCTGCCGAACAGCGCTACGACAGCATAGCCGGTCTCGCCAAGCCCGCCAGATAAAGTCGGACTGCAATATCTGATTGGTTCTTAACCAAATCACGTCTCCAAGCCGCCTGAAACGGGATCGGTGCAGCGACCAGTTGAGAAAGCGACCCTGATATGATTGGAGCAAATCCCGTTGGCCATCTCATCTAGCGAGATTGGACATCCATGCAAATATGTAAGGGAGGTAAGACTCAAGGTAACGTGTATACAATTGCCATCTAACAATCACTAGAGCTGGGCCTTCTCGTCACGTCATTCATTACACAGTGACGGTGTATGTAAACCTTGTTCTTGGCTCGATGTCCTCTGCACATCAGTCTTGTGCAGTATCTCCGACGGTTACCTCGGTACTTTGACATACGAACTACCCTCCAGCCAGTAGCGGCTCGTCCCGTGCCCTTGGGACTTACCGTCAGGGATGAAAAAGGAACACATCATGTTGGTTCACTTGATGCGGGTGGGCAAGCGTGCCATGCCCGAGTTGAATTTGCCTCGTGCAAACCGTGACCAACAGACAAAGGCGACGGGTCACTCTCCATGGACCCCAGGCGATAATCCTGCATGAAACAGCTTCATTTGACAGCCGACCTAGTATTGATCCACTCATCACCTCTACGCCGTTATCAGGATGGCTGCAGATCGATCTGCCCCATCCAATCGCGTCAACGTACCGGTTTCTACGTTGAATCTCTACGCGACGTTGTTCACATCCCTAAACTAGTAAGCATGCCAATCTATAGTGCATTCTGCCAAGACCTGCGCGTCTGACCTGCTACTCACAACATCCTCCTCCTTCTCTAAGACTTTCCGCCCGTTCTATTACCGCTACTAAGGTGGGCTGGGAGCAGTTAGTGCCCGAACACACTGTAGCACCTACCCGACTAGGTATCGGAGTGGTTCAAACGCCATCTTAAGCCGTTCTAGCGACTAACACACCTTGTGCTGTGGTTCAGGTACGTCGGCATGCCACGAGACCGCCTTGTCGGTGGCTGCTAGTCCTTATTGGAAGGTGCATTTGCCTCCTGCCATCTCGTCTCAACACCAGATTATCAAGCACCTCTATATAAGAGGTACCGGACGTCCTCCTACAGCATCAGGCCACGAGCACAGCAACACTCAGCCCTCATCAGCAGTCTTCCTCGTCTCTCGCTCCAAAGATCCCATTTTCGATCAATCAGCCAACATGAAGCTCTCACTTCTTCTCGCACTTTTGCCTGTGGCTCTTGCCCTTCCCGCCCCGGTCATTGTTCCCCGTGCTGGCGCTCCTATTCCCGGAAGATGGATCGTCAAGATGAAGAATGAGAACCTTCAGAACCTCATTGACGTCGCCTTGAAGGTTCTCAAGAAGGACCCTGCCCACGTCTACAAGTTTGCTGGATTTGGCGGTTTCTCTGCTGATATGGCCGACGACATTGTCGAGCTGCTCCGCAACCTCCCAGGTGTAAGCTATAAAGCCCCAAGAGCATCATCTTCAGTACTAACATAGCATAGGTCGACTACATTGAGCAAGATGCTATTGTCAAGGCTAACCTTGGCGAGTCGCACCTCGAGAAGAAGGCGTACACAACTCAGTCTTCTTCCACATGGGGCCTTGCTCGTATCTCCCACCAGCAGCCTGGTACCAGCTCTTACATCTACGACACCACTGCTGGTGCTGGTACTTGCGCCTATGTCATTGACACTGGCATCTACACTGCCCACCCCGAGTTCGAGGGCCGTGCTACCTTCCTTGCCAACTATGCTGGTGATGGTCAGAACTCGGACGGAAACGGTCACGGTACCCACTGCGCTGGTACCATCGGATCCAAGACCTACGGTGTAGCCAAGAAGACCAAGCTTTACGCTGTCAAGGTCCTCGATGCCAGTGGTTCGGGCTCCAACTCTGGTGTCATTGCCGGTATCAACTTCGTCGCCAACGACGCCAAAACCCGCAGCTGCCCCAACGGTGCTGTTGCCAACATGTCTCTGGGTGGATCTCGCTCCACTGCCGTCAACGCTGCCGCGGCCAACGCAGTCAGCGCTGGTGTCTTCATGGCCGTCGCTGCCGGTAACGATGGTGCCGATGCTCGCAACTCCTCGCCTGCATCCGAGCCCACTGTCTACACCGTCGGTGCCACCGACAGCTCTGACCGCCTCGCTTCTTTCTCCAACTACGGTTCCGTCGTTGACATCCTTGCTCCTGGTGTCTCCATCCTCTCCACCTGGAACAACGGTGGCACTAACTCCATCTCCGGTACTTCCATGGCTACTCCTCACGTTGCTGGTCTCGCCGCCTACATTCTCGGCTTCGAGGGCAAGAAGACCCCTGCCGCACTCTCCAGCCGTCTCAGCACCCTGTCGCTGAAGAACAAGATCTCCGGTGTTCCTTCCGGCACCGTCAACAACCTTGCCTTCAACGGCAACCCCAGCGGTTAAGCATTTGTTCTTCTTGGCGGCGCTTTATCAGCATGTTGCATCGAGTCTTTTTTAGTTTCGCATTGATAGAAGTCGAAGATTCCCTTCCTTCTTTTCTTATGAAGTCATGATCGCGATAGTTGTCTCTTGGCAGTCGATAGCACCAATGGAGATACAATCTATGAAGTTACTCATTCAAAACGCCCCCAGTGCTGTGTCTTCGCACCGATTGCTGATATGTTGCCCCATAATCTCAATGGCTGGTCAACGATGGGAATACGGATGACCATTTAGTTACTACCGTCTTTGAATGCGGAGATCGCCATCACGAAAACGGCCTTTGTGATACCGTCACTAATGATCTTGTGGGGGTGGCTTACGCTAAGCCTCATCATCATGACTATATTAGACGCCCATGTGTCACGATGGGTCATTCGTTGTTTCGGCAGAAATACTGTTGACTCTGCCGCGTCGTAGGTGGCTTGGAGAGGCGTGGCCTCGCGCGTTAGCACAACGGTGCAGCGCCCACATGCCCTGCATCGTCTTGCATAGATCACTGGGCTCATGCAGGGTCTACCGACACATGCTTCTACGCAAACAAAGAAATACTCTCCTTGGTCTTGCGAAGATCGATCATCTGTGTATACGGAAATCTCTCGGTGTAACGATCAATGAGACACCGCGATCTTCGACCAAACACTCAGTGCTCCTAACAAAGCTTCCCAGATCTACACTTCCCCCGTCTTTGTCTAACATCTGCAACATCGGACGACTAACAATAGCTCGATCAAGTACCACGCATCATACACAGCTAGCTGCATCCGGTACCAGAGGCTGAAGCCTTCCCCGCATTGTCAAGGCTATATTGGCACAACGCTGATCAGCATGGTTCATCGGAAGATTCAATTTCGCCCCGCAATTCCAATTAGGAGATATTGCAGTTAAGGCTGCAGCTTCCATCTTCCTTCCGCCAGCCGCCTCGGCGCACGGACCAAGGCGAAGCTCGGAACGCTTCCAGGGTTCGAGCGATGAGATGCGCCACCAACTTTACCATCCAACTGCCGCTTCCGCCTCTCCAATCTGCGCGAACCACCTAAAGCAGCGATACGACGCGGAAATAATTTGAGCTGTCGGCTTATACGCAGGGTGAGATAATCGCAGAATAACACTAACGCTTTCGGCCACGTAAGACGCGTTTCTTCGCGTTGTGGGCTTACGGCCGTAAGAAGCTCGCGTTGCGCCGACGCGCTTCAGCGCTCCGACAACGCCTGCGAACTCCCACACACGAGAGCAGACTGCGCGATCGACATCGCCCAACAGGCCAATAAAGTATGTACCAACATACAGTCGTCACTGCACCTTAGGGCATTCAGTCGAACAAAGACTGCAAGCGTTGCTAGTATGCACGCGCGCGCTGTCAACAGCGGACCATGCCGGTAGCTCTCGCACGACGACCGATGCTAGCACCGTACCATAGAACAAGCGTATGAGACACTGTCATCGACATCGGACGAGCGCTACTACTCTCACACCTTCGACCGTCCCTCGTTGGCCTCCTGGTCCATTGGAATATTCGGTCCCAAGTCTCGGCCGACTGGAGTATGAGGCCCTAGATGCTGGACATCGCGAGATACATCTTGTCGAGCTCGTGCCATGGGCACCGGAGAATACTATGTAGACCAATCGCTCTCGATCAATCTCCCCGGAATGCATTTGGATGATGGAGCCACCTCATGCAAGAGAAAAATTGAACAGGTCTATAGACTACATTAACATAAATGCATGTAAAGTAGATAGCTTAACGTTAATATAGGCACTATAGTGTTTAGTTCTATTCTAAATTAACGTAGTTCTAAGTTAATGTTAACTCTACAGTGTTTAGTTCTTTTATATATTAACGTAGTTCTACGTTAATGTAGTCTCTACAGTGTTTGAATTTTTCTTAGGTTGGCGTGGAGCGAAGTCCGAAGCTCTTTAGTAGACGTGGAAATCGACATATAGTTCTCGCGCGGTGCTAGTCAACTGATGCTCTTATCTTATCCTCGAACTGGGCCTCAAGGCCTTCGAATCATCGACCAACTGCTGGCACTCTGAATTGACGCTGTGTGTCAACCGAGTTGAGCGCCGCGAAAGATCCTACCTAGGTATGCAGTCCAATGCAAGGGTGCTTCCACAGTCAGCTTACTTCGCGTTTCTGGTGTTACACAACACTATCACATGTGCGTTCAACGTTTCTGACCACCCCGCAACTTATGGTCTAGTCTGAATCCGTATTTGTCGTCATACCCACTTCGTGGTGGGTCTACCGAGGTCCCCAAGAGTCAGTATCGTACGAACCTTCATCGGTCCATTTCTCTACCAGTATACAAAATCCCCAGCCCACGTCATCTTCTACCAAACATCTTAGGATTATTGCACCAGTACACGCCATGGACTCATTCACCGCAGGCGACATCACCCACCAAAATGGTGAGGTCACGCACTACTACGAAGGAGGCTCTGCAGACGGCACTCCCCTAATCTTCATCCACGGCTGGCCCGACATCGCAGAATCATGGAAACACCAACTCGCACATTTCGCTGCCTCATCAAAATACCGTGTCATTGCACCTGACATGCGCGGCTACGGCGACTCAACGGCACCCCAGAAGAAAGAGTCTTACCGCCTTGAAGTCCTCGTTCCCGAGCTCGTTGAGTTCGCCTCAAAGCTAGGCATCAAGAAAGCAGTATGGATCGGTCACGACTGGGGCTGCGGCGTCACCAACGCACTTGCCGCACACTACCCTGAACTCTTCATTGCCATGGCAAACCTCTGCGTCCCCTACCGAAGCGTGGAACTGGGCCTCGATTACCTCAAGAGCACTATCAACCGCGACCTCTACCCTGAAAGCGAGACCGAGTGGGGAAACTGGGAGTACATGCGGTACTACGAGGTGAAACCCGAGCAAAGCGTCAAAGCGTTCGACGGCCACTTGGATGTCATCACCAAGATCCTGTATGTGAAGGGCGATGACAGTAAGTGGGGCCAGCCCTCACCCACAAGCCGTGTCTTGAGAGACGGAGGTTGGTTTGGTGGTCATCCGGAGAACCTTCCTGACATCCCACTTTCGTACACATCGTTGGATGAGCATCTTTATGAAAGCCTGCTGAAGAGCAAGAAGAAGCATGGGTTCTTCGGTGCGAACGCATACTACTTCAACCACGAAGCGAACGTCGAGTATGCGAAGAGCCAGAAGAACGATGGTGTGTTGGAGTTTCCGTTCCTGTACATTGATGCGAAGTACGATGCTGTGTGCTCGCCTAGTGTGCAGCCGAAGTTGGCGGAGAGGATGAAGCGGGATGTGAAGAATTTAACCTATGAGACTATTGAGTCGTCGCATTGGGTACAGTTGGAGAAGCCGAAAGAAGTTAATGAGGCGTTGGAGAATTGGCTCGCTACCTTGTGAGGTACCCGAAGGTGACGAACATACGATAGGCTGTATGGCTTTCACAATAGTCGACCTTGCGCTGGTGTATCCAAAGTTACCAGACTTGGTGTATTGATAGCTGTAGCTGGTAGGGAATTGAAGCTTGTCTCTCAATCAACTCGAAAGCTATTTATTGATGAAATGAACCGCCACAACAGGAAGCACGACCTTCGACTATCTTAATGAACCGTGTACTGTAAGGCGACATACCGTGCGCGACCATGTTCCCGACAGTATGGCCTAGCCAACACAGTTGCGCACCTGCCAGTACTTTCGACTAGAGACTGCAGAATCTCGCCAGACATCATGCGCAAACCTGCGATCCCGCCAAGGGATGACTGTCAACAAAACCGATGGACTGTTGGCGCGGACACGCTCTGTCAGTCGTACCAATACTCTCTTTGACAATCGCTGTATGCGCACGCACCCAATTTGTCCTTACACCCCACGACTCGTTGGCGCACCCATCGACATTTCCCAGTGCATCGGCAATCCAAAGAGTATCTATGGTGCTCTCGATAAGAGTGCTTATTCTATACCAGTCGTCGATGTCCCACGACAAGACGCTGAAAGTTAGCGCCCACCGGGTACAACGACAACATCATGTAGGAACCCGCATCATAACAGACCACATAGCACGGCGCTTCGCTAGAGGTAACACAACATTTGATCGTTTCTTTGTCCGAGCCCATTGGGTCTCAGACAACTTCCTTCCCGTGGTCATGGTCCGTTAGTGCTGGATCTGGACTGGACCCTACCCTCTGGTTATCTGGACGCCATATACCTCTCCAGGTGACTACGTACCATCCGCGGGAAACACCAAAGCTCTGCTAGACCTATTGTGTGATCTACATGACCAGAGCTCTACACGGCTGAGCATCCGGCCCGTCGTAATAACGCCAGACGAGTAACATTAGAGGACCGTGAAGCGTGCACCCATGCCGTCGACCCATGGACCAGCAGCATGCGCGCTGTCAGATAACGGTATCTTTTGTGCTCTTGTTGGTGTTGCAAAACAGCATGCGCTCGCCAGAGAGCATGCCCTAACGTGGTCCGTGAGAGGTTGCACTGCCTGTGCGTACGCGCGAGCGCTGTTGCTAACTGGTCCTTCAGATTGCGCCATTGGCTCTCGAAGGAGCCGGCTGTCGTTGATGCTCGTACGGGTTGTACGGCATTTGTATTTAAGTTTAGGTTCTGCCGCTGATGCAGGTACAATTCAACGTGAAGGATCCGACCCCTCACCTTTTCTCTGAAACCCAACCCCTTATTCATCCCTTCCAGCATATTCGATTCGAACGGCTCGGAAACATGTATACTCCAGTCCTCTTCGCTCTGATCTCGTTGGTCGTTGCTGCCCCATTGACGAGAGTCGACGGCGAAGATGGCATCGCTGGCAGATGGATCGTCAAGATGAAGGGCGACGTAGCAACGCAAGCTCACAACGACCTTGTGGCATCCATGTCCACCAAACCCGATTACGAATACGCAATGCCTGGATTCCGAGGATTTGCCGGCAGTATCTCTGAGGAAGAACTTATTCGACTTCAGGCTTCTGAGCATGTAAGCTATACGCCCGAATTAACATACCTGAACTAACGTACTCAGGTTGAGTACATCGAACAAAACGCCAGGGTTCATAGCAACGAGATCGTGCAACAGTTGAACTCTACGTGGGGGTTGGCTCGTATCTCTCATGCCGAGCCGTATCAAACGAGTTATCTTTTCGATTCCAGCGCTGGGGAGGGTACATGCGCGTATGTTACCAACCGTATTTGCGCCTATGTGAACTTCGCTCACAAAGCGACTGCAGATACGTCATTGACACAGGCATCGAGGTTGAACATCCAGAATTTGGAGGGCGTATGTACGAACCGTTCAGCTCGGGAGATACGCGCTAACGAACTGAAAGGTGCTCTCTTCTTAGCTGACTTCAGCGGTGAGGACACCATGATCGACGCCATGGGCCACGGAACTCACGTGGCTGGCACAATCGGCTCGATGACTTGGGGCGTGGCAAAGAAGACAACGCTGCTCGCTATCCGTGTACTGGACTCGTACGGCTCTGGTACGACCGAGGGCGTACTTGCGGGTATGGAGTATGTTATTACCGATGCAGCAAAACGTAGTGAGGCTGGAGAATGTCCCAACGGTTTCGTGGCCAACATGAGTCTTGGAGGGCGTAAGATGCAGGCCCTGAATGATGCTGTGAGTAACTGATTCCGTCTTTTATCAGACATTCAGCTCACAATGATCTAGGCCGCTGCCATCGTTGCCGCGGGAATCTTCCTTGGTGTCGCAGCGGGCAATGAGGGACGCGACGCCGGATACTCGTCCCCGGCATCTGAACCTAGTGTCTGCACCGTAGGTGCTACAGCAATTAACGATACTCTCATCGAATGGTCTAACTATGGACCTATTGTCGACATTCTGGCGCCCGGCGTTGAGATCACCAGCACTTGGATCGGCAAATCGATCGATACGATTTCTGGAACTGTAAGTACACTCCCAGATAAGTGTCGGTGTGACGCGCGCTGACTATCCGCCCTCACGTTCAGAGCATGGCAACCCCTCATATCGTTGGTTTAGCCGCGTACTTCATGGGTCAAGGATGGCCAGTGGAAGGGTTGTGCGAAAGCATGGCTGGCGTTGCGACAAAGGGCGCGATCGATGAAAGTACTCTCCATGATAACACACCGAATCTTCTAGCTTTCAACATGGCCGAAGCATCCCAGCAGTACGGCAGACGTACAAAGCGTGTCGCGTAGAATCGAAGAAGTGCATCATCGGCTGGAAATGTCTGGCATGAGGATCCGGTACTATAGTTTTGACAAAGGGGAGACCCTGGGAAGCAATGTTGAAACGTTGATGAGATTGACCTTGTTCATTAGCGCATGCCCATAGATCGTGCGGATCGAGCCGTGCGCGACAGCACCAGTCACTGAGGCGGGAAGATGCATGAAGCTGACCTGCCGTGCCGTCTCACGTCAAATATGTCAGCCTCATCGGTGGTCAGATCCCACCTATGGCGATCCAGATTCGCCAGTGAAAGCCTCCGATCTCAACGGCTGTCGCAACTGATGCGCCATGCATGGAGTCCTAGATCTTAAACTCAAAGCGGTGATGTCGCCCAAGCCTGCCACGCCGATCGTCACTGCACTAGTCAGCTGAATCAGCGCGCCCGGCCACTCACGACGCGTGACATCATAAAATGCGGGGTAGAGACTTGCGATAACAGGCTAGCTTGTCTGCGAGCCCGACACTTTGCAGAACTCCAAGCCTTCCAAGAGCACTGCCCTCACCTGAGCTCTTCTCTATCCCGCTCCATACCTGCCCCATTGGCATCCTCGGACCTCAAATACGCATCATCTTTACTGGGGAGAAAGGACCATTCTAGAAGTCATGGCGTCATACTTCGACCTCCAGCCGCAGAAGGCGCCGCCAGCTACGAATATAGATCAGATGCCTCAAGACCAGCGCAAGCAACTCGGTCGCATGAACAGTTTGATGTCCCCAGCAGTCACACAAATATTGGAAGGTTTAGGCGACGAAGGATCGGACAGTGATAGCAGCGAAGAAAAAGACCCATCCGAAGAAGAAGATCAACGTGCCGCTCAACAACACACTAAGCCAGCACTCGACCCCCAGAAATTGCGCCAAGACAAGCAAAAGCACGTCGCCGCCCAGGCGCCTCGCCCTTCATCTTTATCACCAAGCAGAAGTTCCCTGAAGACGACCAGCAAAAGCTCTGGCCATTCCAAGCCGTCTTCGGCGCATGGCAGCGGAGATAAGTCCGCAAAGTCCAGACAAAAACAGCCGCACATGGCGCGATTCCATTCCTTGCGCAGCATGCTTTTTCAACAGAGGATTCAAGACCAGATGAAGACTGCCACGCAAGAAGATTGCCAGCAGGACCAAAATGCGGCAGACAAATGGCGGTCTCAACACGCCGAACGCCAGATGCATCACCCGGGAACACCCGACCAGGACGCTTCAGGAAAAGGTGGAATTGGAAGTAGGATTCGGATGACAGTAAGACGGATGACGACTAAGGACGCAGGAAGTATGGAGAAGATTAGGGAGGATGGTGCGCCGGTCGAGTTCAATGATCGCGCGTCAACAGCTTCCTCTGACAACGAAAAGGACCAACGAGAAGCATCGACGACTCGCTATGAAAGTGACAATGAGAGCATCGATCATTCCGATGTAGACGAATTAGTACGATGGGTCAGCCGACGAGATCCCCCTAGCGACGGTGAACGACGCAAGGGCGGCGACGTGGTCGAAGCCAAGGAAGACAGTGGTCATGAGAGCCTGGGGCCTTCAGATGTCGAAGACCTTGTTCGCTTTGCCAGCAGAAAATCTGACGCCAAAGAGACCACCGTGTTGAACGACGCACATTCAGGGTACAGCGACGCATCAACCGAATCCGACAGCGAACTCAGAGAAGTATCTTCAGACGAGGAAGAAGACGCAGACGACCTCGTACGCTGGATATCGCACCGCGACGGACCTAAAGCCGGCCCCGTACGCCGCAACCTCCAACGACCCGAACTAGATTCCGACGTAGGCGAGCACTACGACTCCGACGTGCCCGAACTAGGCCGCTGGTTCAAGCGCCACGACGGCACGAGCGGCGAATCCGCAGCCTCCACACCAGTCAAAGAAACCTTTGACGAAATCGACGAGGAAGAACAGCGAGGCCGCCCCCGAAGCCGCGAGTCCATCGAGCCCATCAAAGAGAAACGCCACATCACCGACGACGACGTCGACGAGCTCGTCCGCTGGGTCAGCAGAAAAGACTCCAAACAACAAGACTCCCCCGGACCCGTTTCTGAGAACCCAATCGACCGTCTAAAGCGCGAAGAGGAAGAGAAACAAGCGCAAATCGGCATGAGTGTTGATGACGGCAGTCTCTCACACGCCGATCTGCAAGAAGTCGTAGAGCACGCAAGGAAAACGAGCGCTGATATGGTCAGCCCGCCGCCTGCATCCCCGTTTGCAGTCGAGACGGGCGACTTGAGGGTGCTGAGGGATGAGAAGACCAAGGCGACACCTCTGGAGCGCGATTCGCAGCGTGATTTAGATGGGAAGAGGGAGAATCTTGATGAGAAGAAACAGGAGCTGGGTATGAGTCTTGACGATGAGAGTTTGAGTCATAACGACGTGGCGGAGTTGATTGAGCATGTCAGGAAGATTTAAGAGAGTGTGTTCGTGGTCTGCAGTCGGCGCGAAAGGATTTGGGAACCAGTATTCATGTTACGAAGGATGCGCGGAAGAGCGGAAGCTACGGATGTCGATGTGGGTGTGTGGGTCAACCACGGGTATCTGGGAGGATCTATTTTTGTTAGTCTGGGGTTTAGCACGTCGTTTTATACCAATTGAAGATTCTATTTTAAAACAATTCGCATGTCTGAAGTCAATGTTGAACGTGCAAACGATATGGTATTCATACAACATCAAACGAGAAAAAAAAAAGAAGAATCTATATCGCGAATGCAACTCCCAAACCCCTTCAAATGCAAGACAACCACACCTCAACCCCAAACCCCTCAATCCAACTTCAACGCCTCCACGCCTTCAAACTGCAACCTCCTAAATATGCCCCTAATAACCCCACACTTCCTCTCCCTCTCATCATCCCTGCCCCTCATCTCCGTGCGCATCTTACCATACATATTCTGGCCATCCCCCCTCTGCCCACCCTCCTTAATATTCGTAAAGAACATGCGTCTACCCGTACTATCCAACGGCTCCCACTTAGCAATCTTGACATTCTCCCTGGGAATAACATCATGTTCGCGGTTCGGATCAAGAAACTTGACAAAGCTGATAAAGTAATCCGAAATCTCGTTTTGGCGGCGCACCATGACCTGGCCAACGGTGCCGGCGTGCTTGGTGCCGTAGCCGTTCTCTATGTCCGGGCCCCACATTACGTCCCATTGGTATTGGTACGTGGGTACGGAGGGCGGGTTGTGGAGGGACATGGCGTTGGAGGCGAGGTAGGTAGGGCAGATGTAGCGGATGTCGCCTTGGGCTTTTGCGACGGCGTCCCACCAGGCGCCGCTATCGGGCCAGTGGCGGTCGTTGGGGTAGGTTGATACGAGGGTGGAGAGGTCTTCGTCGGTGAGGAGCGGGTAGTGGTCTTTGAGGTAGGATTTGAATTCGCCTTCGTTGTCGGTGGTCTTCTTGACTTGGTCGGAGCCTTCGTTCGAGGTGAAGCCGATGATGGTGGGGACCTTGGCGTAGCGGTCTGCCATTATGGCTGCTGGGGCGGGTGCCGTGAACATGCCGCCGGCGGGCTCGGTGGTGGGCGCCCACATCCAGCGTGGGGGTGTGTCGCGGCCGGGGAAGTTCATGGGGTAGTTCTCGTAGTAGAGGTCGCCTGTCGCTGCGTTGCGCACGCATGCGATGTCTGTGCAGTTTAATCCATCTGCGACTTCGTTGTAGAACTTCTCGGCTTGGTCGGGGGTGAAGAATGTCGGGCTCGCGGGGGACTGGGCGATGGCGCCGTGGAAGAGCTGCTTGCGGCCTACACCAGGGACAGGGTGGTAGTTGTCGCCTTCATTGGCCGTCAATTGTAGCATCACGGACGCGCCGCCAGCGCTCGTGCCCATGATGACCACGTGGTCTGGGTTGCCCCCAAAGTACCTGATATACTTCTGGACCCATTCCAGCGCCGCTCTCTGGTCGCGCAGCGCGTTGTTGTAGTCGCCGTCTTTTGCGATCTCTTTGCCAGAGAGGAAACCGTAGATGCCGTTGCGGTAGTACATGGTGACTACAATGATGCCTTTGTCCAGTTTGCCGTCCACGCCCTTTTCACGTCGCGCCTTCTCTACCATCTCGCCTCCATTGCTGCGTCCTGGGAGATGGAAGCCACCACCGGGGATATTGACCAAAACTGGTAGGTCGTCGCCTGCCTCAGCGTCAATCGGCGTGAAGACGTTCAAGCTCAGACAATCCTCAGTGGAACGAGTCTTGATACCCAGAACTTCCGGTCCTGAGATATCTTCCCTGTTTCTCTGGGTTGGATCAATCTTCTGGATTCTTGGGCACATGCCCAATGATCCATCCCATACCAGAGGCTTCTCGCCTCGACCGACGCCGTATGTCCTGTTCACCGGTTGTGGTCCGCGAAACCTGTTCTGGCCTCCTGCATCTGCGGCATATGGTATGTTCCAGTAGAACCTGACCTTGTCTGAGACGTTTGGCTTGATGGCTAGGTAGTCCAGCTCGACGATGTAGGGGTCTTCGGTGTTCTTGAGCGGCGCGGAGAAGGTAGACGTAGGTTTCGAGCTGAGAGGTGGTAACCATTCCGAGCTGGGACGTAGGTCGGGCGAGTAGAGGAAGGCGAATGTGAAGGCGAGGACTACGGCAGCCGTGAGAGCGAGTATAACGCGCCGGTCGAAGATGAGGCTCGAATTGAGCGGGCGGATTGCCATGGTGGGCGTGTATTGAAGGTTGTAAAAGAATGTAAAGTCGCGTGCAAAGCGTTGAAAGATTACTGAGATGCCGTTGGAGTATGCATCTGCGTCTCGTACATGAAACTCAGGAAAGGAAAGACTGGTCACGGAGACAAAGAAAGTGTCCTTCGGCGCTGTCGCAAGCCTTCCAAGCATCCATGGCTGCGAGTTTCCCTGTCTAGCCCGACGGGAGGACCGAAGAGGCTAAGGGGGCGGCAATCGGCACCATCCGCTTGGCGCTGACGCGTATCGCATTTCGTGGGAATGCCATGGCGACGCATCGCCATACAACCACGATCGCGCAA